TTTTTTTTTTTGGCTGGGGCTGGGCTTGAACCTGCTACCTCCGGCATATGGGACCAGCACCCTACTCTTTTGAGCCACAGGCGCCACCCAAACTTTTCATTCAACGTCAAACAAAATATAAAATCATAATATACTTTAAGATGCTCCAGAAGAAGTCTTAAGAGTGTCTTGCTAAAGATAGAATGAATCTGGGCAGAGGCCGTGAGATTGTTTTAGCCTAAAATGGGATTATGAGATTTATCAGAACCTTTAAAAGCTCTATGCTTCTTCTCAGAAGGGAGGTTGCTGGTATTTTTGAGATAGGCATCTGCCAGGCTCATTTCTCTGTCCTTTTCCTCAAAAAGATAAAACAAGACAAAAAACTCCACATGATCTGACTGTTAAACTATTCCTTAATAGGTTTCTTTATTGACTTAGTGTTTATGTTGTACATTGTGATTTTTTTTCACAATACAAGAAAATTTCTCATTTTACCTACTACAGTCAGCTTTATAATGCCTTTTGAGTCTTAACTAGCTCTTTCAAATGTTTCCTCTAACAGCAATCTAGCCTCAGGGTAGTCACCAGCAAACTAGTGCCATCTGGTGGGGACGTGGAGGATTCAAGCACACAAGTTGGAAAGTGCTCAGGGGAACAACCAGTAAAAACATGCTAAGTATCAGGTGACAGCACATATAGTACATTATTACTTACAAAACTCTTTAAGATAACTACTCCTGTCCCAGCCACTTGGGAGGCTGAGGCAAGAGAATCACTGAAGCCTAAGAATTTGAGGTTGCTGTGAGCTCTGATGCCACAGCACTCTACTGAGGGTGAGAAAGTGAGACTCTGTCCTTTAAAAAAAAAAACAAACTACTCCTACTCAATTCTGATATGAGGACAATTGATGCTAGTACATGGTGGGGGGGAGGAGGAATAGGGAAGTAGAGATTGGGAAGGAGGGAGGGGTGGGGAGGACGGTGTATGACATACTTCTTGGGGGTGGGTTACTATTTATTATCCCAGGGACATTATCCAGCAAATGCAAGCAATCTAATCTGACTTTGTACCCACAATGATTACTCCCCCCTCCCCCCAAAAGATAACTATTCCCAATTTTACTGATTATGAAATGGGGTTCTGGATAATGAATCAATTTGTCTAAGGCCATATGGCTACTTAGGGTAAATGTATGATTCCAAAGCACATCTACTCTTTTTTTTTTTGAGACAGAGCCTCAAGTTGTCGCCCCGGGTAGAGTGCCGTACCATCACAGCTCACAGCAACCTCCAACTTCTGGGCTCAAGCGAGTCTCCTGCCTCCGCCTCCCAAGTTGCTGGGACTACAGGCGCCCACCACAATGCCTGGCTATTTTTTGGTTGCAGCCATCATTGTTCTTTTGGCAGTCCCCAGCTGGATTGGAACCCACCAGCTCAGGTGTATGTGGCTGGCGCCTTAGCTGCTTGAGCCACAGGCGCGGAGCCAGCACATCTACTCTTAACAAGGCATGATTAATCTACATGATTTACTGGCTCGGCACCTGTGGCTCAAGCAGCTAAGGCGCCAGCCACATACACCTGAGCTGGTGGGTTCCAATCCAGCCTGGTTCTGCCAAACAACAACGGCTACAACCAAAAAATAGCGGACATTGTGGCAGGTGCCTGTAGTCCCA